ACATATCTGAGCCACTTACACGGCCTGCACCCTCCCCACTGCCAGAAGCAGACTTCTGAGTACTGAGGAGAAAGGTGCTCACCGTAATCTGCTTTGTCTGTGAGGGCGTTGAGGCACCGCTTTATTGTTACTCATTAATTCTGCTCAACTTTAAAAAGTGTTTTCCTGGGGCCGAGGATTTAGCTCTGTGGTTTCACTGCCTGCTGCGCAAGCACAAGGACCCGAGTTCGATACCCGGTACCAAAAAAAAAGAAAGAAAGTGTTTTCCTTAGTTGCAAGAATTTTCCTAGTTTTCAGCTCTTCAACTCAGCCTTCTAAGATAAAAATTTAATCTTGGAGCCGGGCGTGGTGGTAAACACCTGTAATCCAGAGCTCTGGGAGGCTGAAACAGGAGGATCAAAAGTTTGAGCCCAGTCTGAGCAATTTAGCAACTTAGTGAGATCCTGTTTCAAAATAAAAAGAGGGTGGGTGTAGTTTAATACAAAGGCCCTGGGTTCAGTCCCTAGGACTGCAAATCGTCACAGTCATCTCCGGGCAGATGAATGTGCTTCTTCCCCTGCTGAATTCCTAATTCGCCGTTCCATGTTTCTTCATCGTCTCCTCTTCAGTCAGTTTTTGTTTGCTCTGCAGATTCATAGCCACATAAGATTATAGGTGAATAAAGTCCTGCATTGCTGTTCTCTTCTCCTTCTGGCCCCAGCACAGGGGGAGTGGAAACGGGCAGTCTGGGTGGCATGTATCATTTCTGTACTCTGTCGTTGGGCTTTGGAGCTGCCTATGCCTGGTCTCTAAACATGTTTCTCGTCTGGTCTTTTTCACCAAACCAGTGATGGGGTCTGGTTTGTAGTGCTCCTGCACTGCTGGCGGGGGCTTTGAGCAGCTTGTCCTCTGAAAGCCTCCAGTATTAATAGGGAAAGGCAGAGGGGTGCACGGGGAGTGTTTCTACAGCTCCCTGCTGCCCCATAAGATGAGTTTCTCATTAAGGGGTCTGTGAGAAAAGGTGACTTCTTCACACATACCGAACATACAGCCTCCCTTCAGTCTCATAAACCACAACTGAGTTTAAAAGGGGAATATTTCAAATGCTCGCCTTGTCACCCAGATAGACAGGAGACAGGGGACTTCATACACGCTCCTGCATTTCCAGAGCAGAGTTTATCCCGCACTTTGCAGCCTGAACTTTCAAAGCCTGGCAGCAGATGGCAGCAGAGGTGGCATGCAGTGGTGGTGGGGGGGGCTACATTAGGAGCATCGGAAAGGAAATAGGAAATGTGAGGTGGGATCTGGGGTGCGAGGGGAGGGTTAGCCACGGTGTCAGTGAGGAAGTTAAAATGAAGGCCCGGAGGATGCCTTTCTCCTACACTGCAAGTTATTGACTACATGAAAGGGTCCCCCCGCCCCCATGACTTTCATTCACCCATTCACAGCTTATTTACTGGGTGCCCACTCATGCCCAGAGTAGAGAGCTAAGAGCTTACTGTATGCCCTTCGTTATTATTTCAGATACTTTTTAAATAGTAAGATTTTAATGGCATTAACAGCCTGTGACCTACTTTCTTAGCATGTAAAGTAGGAATGTTAGTAACATATCTACTTCCTGTGGCTGAGATTCTAATTATGAGCAGTGAGCACAGTGCTGGCCACATACAGCACGTATACCCCTTTTCCTTGTATCTTGTTATCCTTCTTTGCCTCCCAGTATGGAGAGCCAGAAGGAAACATTAAGGTCCCAAACAAGAGGACGGGGTCTTGATAGGTGAGAATTGTTTTTTCCTTCAGGCCCTCAAATCCAAGACCAAGAATTTAATTTCTCACACTGAGCTCACTCATTCTCTGTGGGATGTTTTAGTCTGCGTAGTCAGAGTCGCAATTTCTCAGTGGCTGTCCTTATTGTTAGACAGGAGCTGATCATGGGTCTCAAGATGACCTCCAGGTTTGAAGCAGTCCCCACAGGCCTCCTCAGTAGGCCCCATCACTGTCCCAGCCTGCTGCTCCCTTGCCTTCATACAGAGCTTGCTGCAGCCTCGCTGCCTCTGCACACTCCAAGGGAGGTGTTATAAAGATGGTGTATTTGGACTTTCTCTAGGAGAACTCGGGAATATATTATGAGGTTTTTGTATTTTGAGACAGGGTCTCACTCTGTAGTTCAGGTTGCCCTGGAACTCACTGTAGCCCAGGCTGCTAGCAAACGTGTGATCCCCCTGCCTCGTCTGGGATTACGGGCAGTACCACCATGCCCAGCTGAGGTTTCATTTTTAATTTGCAGTGCTGTGCTGGTCTGTCCTCAGAGGAAACGTATCAAAGCCATGGTAGTAGTATAGTAAAATTTGGATTTCTCCTTTGAGATCTCAAATCACTACTTCCTAATTTTAATCGGTTGTTAAATTGTCTTTTATCCATAATTTATGATAGTAGATTGGGAAGAGTCTTTTATCTGGTTTTAGTTTTATGTTGTTTTATCCTCAAAATGAGTCAAGCTTTGGTAATGTTTATATTTTGTTCTTGGAAATAGAGTATGTTCCAAAACATAAGGTTGGAAGATAGTTGTTAGAATTTATTTTTATGTCTGTTTCTTAGAGTTCCTTTCTTCTGGCCAGGCAAAGAGTACTTTATCTTCCTCATCAGAACAGTTTTATTCTCCCACAACAATAGAATACTATGAAGGCCATCCCAAGAGTCTACTGAATAGAGTTCAGAGGATATATGATTACATGTTACATAAACTATGTGTTGGCTTTCTTTTTTCCATTTTCTCATGCTTTCAAAATCTTTATTTGGGTTCAAGGAACTAGCTAATGACAAATCCATTCCTAGTAATGTTAATTATCAATACAGTTCACCCCACCCCATGTAAGCAGGCTACAGAACCAGATTCACAGTGAACACATGGTGGAGTTTGTCACTTTAAATTTGCTTTTCATTCTCAGCTTAGAAAAACCTTCAAGAAAACTGTGATGCTACAGTTTCCTTTTGAGATTTTTAATACTTGAGTTCTACAACAGAACATTCCTGTTTGATGCCTTGCTTAGGACCAGTACCAAATGTACCGGTGGGTGCGCTCAGTCAGTTCCCCCGTGAGGTCACCTGTATACTGCTGTAAGCAAAGGAAGGGGACTTTGTACCGAGACTTTCACCACTGGCTGCAGAGCCTGGCCCTTGATGTTCCAACAGCCTGTTCAGGAAGATTCGACTCCTGTGGCTGGCTTAAGACTCAACTGTAGGTGTATGTATTTCCTTCCCCTTGGACAAAAAGATAAAGGATCTGCTGACCGAGTGGGTATCCATTGTTCCTTTTAGTTCCCTTAAGGAGGTGGTGTTAGCCATATTTTATAGATGAGGAATTTAAAACTCGAAAGAGGTGACTGGTTTATAAACAGCAACGTTCCACCTCCAGAAATGCAGGCTCAGCTCTTGTGACTCCAAACCCAAAGCCACGTCACCTCCCACTTCTTAACAGAGACACTGTAGCTCCAGATATGGGGCCCATCTCAGCTCACTGTGGCCGTGGGGAAAGTCACTGTCCTTCCTGGGCCTCAGTTTCCCCATTAGTAAGGTACGTCGATTTACCTTTCCTGCCTCACTCAAGGATCCATGAGGCCAAAGGAGTGACATCTTGGAAAGATTGTTTGAAATGTGCTTTGTAGACATGAGCCATTGGATTATTACTTTCACAAATGTTAACATCCCTAGTTCATGAGATTTCTGGGCAGCTCCTGCTCAATTTTACTAGAAAAAATGTGGTGGAATTGGATTTTTTAAAATAATATTTATAACAGCAGTCTTTCCCCATATTACCACATTGAACCCAAATCCTGGAATTTCCCAAAATGACTTAAAAATTAATTAACTTCAAATAGACTGTACTCAGGGCAACAGACTGGATCCTTGCTCATTAAATCAGCCTAGATCCCCAAGTTGGCGTGTCACATTTTTGGTGTGCCCCCTCCCAGTGAACAGTTTCAATCACAGTTGTCGTGTGACTCTCAAGCCTGCGCTTTCATTCTGCCCTTTTCCCTACCTTCCATAACTCAGGCTGTTTTTAGTGTTGGCTTTAGTTGCACAGGTTCCTGTCAGAGCAAGGGAAGGGTCTAAGCCCCACCGCTCTCCCACTTTCGGGTCCTCCTGTCACCTCTGATTGATCACCTCCAGGCACTAGGCCTTCAGTGACACTGCCCAGCTACCCTGAGTGGTCATAGTCCTCCAACCCCATAGGCCCCATGCAGCTTGCAGGGGACATCAGCAAAGCAGAGTGTCCCAGTGAACAGCACCTGTATGCCAGAGGCCAGCCCGAGGAATGTGTGCTGTCCCTTAACAGCCCCCTGCAGAGGGAGTGAGTGGTCCTAGAGAGGGACTAAGGGGCCATCTGAATTTGAAGGCATTGAGCTCTGCCAGGGGAGCAGTCATCCTGGCTGCACAGCCATGGCCCCAGGGTCGCTTCATTGACATGCATGGCCCAGCCTCATGCTACTTCTGTGAGCTTACAGTCCAGCTCTTTAGTTGAAGACAACTCATGAGAAGAATTATGGATTATAAGTTCATTTGGATCTCATATTGCCATGCACTACAGCGGGGATGGTTTTGGGTCCAGGGTTTCTAGTTTTTAAAAAAGGACACATGGGGCTGGGGGATGTACCACAGTGGTAGAGCACTTGCCTTGCATGTGTCAAGAAAAAAGGAAGGAAGAATGGATGGACAGACATGTGTTGCCTGTCTGGGAGCATCTGAGAAGAAACGGGTCTGTACTTGGTAGAAGAAGGACCTCAGAGCACCAAATACTGTATTTACTTTACTGTTCCCAAAACTAGGGGAGGGGATCAAAACCCTTTTCTCAAATGAAATCATTTGCGCTCAGTTCTCCGCATGATGATAGCTAATTCATGCTGCCCCTGCATCCCCAAGACCTTGTCCCGGTGTGCTATGAGCCCTGACCACAAATGACTGCCACACAGCCCACCCTCAGGCACCTTGAGTGTAACCGCTTCTTCCTTTTGTTTCCTCAGCATTAATAATAAGCTACAGCAGCCCGAGGCTGCCGCCGGGGTGTTAGAATATGCCATGAAACACTTTGGAGAGCTGGTAAGTGCCTCATTTTCCTTTCAGAAGAGAGACCTGGCCAGACAGACACTCCTTAACTTTGAGAAAGTTACTTCCCTCTCTGTGTTTTTTCCCAGTTTGTAACAAACTAATGCTGACTTGCCTGTATCTTAAGGGTGAAAGAAGACAATGGCTGTAGGGACTATGTGCACCCTGAACATACAAGCAGGAGGGCAGACTCTAATAAACAGTAATTGCTGCTATTCATCAAGCTCTCAGAATACGCCTGGCCCTTCCCTAAGTGCCTGTTTACTTCACCTGATTCAGTCCTCAAGGTGACAGGATGAAGTAGCTACCATACTGTGTTGTTCCTTTTTTTTTTGAGACAGGGTCTCACTGTGTATTCCAGGCTGACCTTGAACTCACAACAATCCTCCTGCCTCAGCCTCCTGAGTGCTGGGATGTTGTCCCATTTTACAGAGGAAGTGACTGTGGTCCCAGCAGGTTAGGAACCTGTCTAAGCTGACAGAGCCAATAAATGGCGTCACCAAGACTTGGACCCAGGCAGTCTGGTGTCAGAGCCAGCATTTAACCTGACCTGAGTTAGTAGTGGCATCTGTGGCAGATCATGTGGGATCTGGTTCATGGCTAGCACTGAGTAGGCATTTGGAGGAGACCATGAGCAATTCTCCAGGAAAAGTGCATACTCTAATTTATATCTGATACTGAGAGATTTTCTTCTTTTTTGGGGGGTTGTTGTTGGGGTGTTTTTTTTTTTGTTTTATTTTTTGGTACCAGGGATCAGACTTGGAACCTTGGCCTTTCGAGGCAGGTGGTGGAACCACTGAGCTAAATCCCCCACCCTTCTATTTCATTATTGTTTAAATAGCTGTTTGTTTGTTTGGTTTTGGTACCGGGGATCAAACTCAGGACCTTGTGCTTTCAAGGCAGGCACCAGAACCACTGAGCTAAATCCCCAGCCCAACATAGCTGTTTATCTGGTGCCATCTTCATCCTACTAGGAAAATATTCCCCTTACTCTTTGGGATGAGAGGGTGCTTTGATTATCCCAAAATATATAAAGATCAACTCAACCAACTTAGCATTGAATTCCTGGAAGGTCGAGATGCTTCTGTATATTTGATGTCCATGTATTTAATGAAGAGCCAGTCACTTCTGTTGACTTGCCTTAATCAAGAGCCAGAGGGCCAGGAATTTAGCACAGTGGTTCCGGTGCTTGCCATGCAAGTGGAAGGTCCCGAGTTCGATCCCCGGTACCAAAAAAAAAAAAAGAGCCAGAGAACTAGAATTAAGAAAAGCGTGAACACTTCGTGGGCTTTTATATGATTGCCTAGCATTTTGCTTCATGCAAGGGCTAATAAATTAGACTGAAACTTCCAAGGTAACCTTGTGCCATTTTTATACATTACCTGTAGCTAGATTAAGACAGCATCTCTCCAAACGATGAAAGAACAGAACTACATCTTATCCGTCTTTGCCACAGACCCTGTTGCAGAGGGCAGAAAGTAGGCCCGAGAGGGCACTTAGAGGAGCCCACACAGACCAGACTGTACTCTGTTTTGATGTCCTTAGAGCTCAGACCCCAATGAGTGCTGATTGAAATGAAGACTACACACACATCTGGTGGTAGGTGATCTGCCAGCAGATGGTTTATACCTCAGCACTCTCTCAGAGTGCCAGGCTCAAATGAAAGTTCCTCCGACTTCAGCTTCTAAAGGTGGCCATTAGCTCTGGGATTATTGCTAACCCATGGTGGATTTTCTGTTATATTTAGGTGGCTGAATCATATTAAGCTTGACAATGGTTTGCTTTTTCTTGGCTGAGCATGTACTTTCTCAGCACAATTTATGTAACAGCAATCTCATTAGAATTTTGTGTAATTCATTGCTTAAACCTTATAGTTTCTGCAGTCCATTGCAGTTCAAAATATCCTGCCCCCTCCTTGACCTGCCCCTTGTGTTGCTCCCTCTATTTTGTGCTGGTTCACTGTGTACCCACATTAGTCTCTGGCTGCTTGTGTAGAAGTGCAACATGGGAAGTTCACCAGTGCTGCTTTTCATCTGAGAGTCTTCCATTTTCCCTCTTTGTTTTCTAAATTTTCTCCTTCATATTTCAGCATAATAGAGAGACATTATTTTAGGCAGGCTTAGAAAATGAAGCCTAGATTCTTTACCTCACATAGAGCCAGGCAGGCCTATTTTTGGCCAACCCCTGCGGCACTGGGGGAAGGCTGCGGTGGCTGCAGTCAGTGCAGGGCAGCAAAGGGAACTGGCACTACTAACTAGAAGGAGGTGCAGGTTAACAATCTGCAGGAGAAGTGACCTCACCGAGGTTTGGAAGGGAACGTTCTTCCAGGCCCAGCAGAGCTGTTGCTAGCGAATATGCCACACAACCATCAGGAAGGGGAGGAGGGTAAACTAACGTGGGCTCTGCATATGTCACACAAATTCCACCTTGGAATTATTTTGTTGTTTTAAAAGACTCCTTGGAGAGCCACTTCCCTGGCTGGTGGAGAAGTAGCCACTTACTGAGCTGATGAAGAACCCCAGACAGAAGGCAGACAGAAAGCACATAAACCATTTTCAGGTCATGTGGAGAGTCCTGCTCTCTGACTCCCAGACTGGCACCTCTTCCTCACGTGGACGACACTTGCCATCAGCGTGGCACTGTGTTTGCCAGCACGATGGAATCCCTCCTTTGGCCCCGACAGTGGTAAAGATGCCAAGTGCTACATTGGACAGGAGACTAGGAAGAAGGAAAGGTTTGCCAGAGAATTTTAAGTGGTAGTGTTCTATCATATTTTAAATTATTATTTCCTTAAAAAATGCATTAAGAATGCAGAGAATCAAAAGCTTTTAGAAGAGTTATTTCCCTCCAGCAAATGTGCAGATGTGGCCTGGTCTTCCTGGCCCCATCAGGAAATCAGCTACCATCCCTGCCATGTAGCAGAGCATCAGGGCCCTTGCGCTTTTGGAGGAGCTCTGCTAGGTCCCATAGTCCCTTATTGATTTTCCTGTCCTCGTGTCCACACGTGCTGAAGTTCTGGCGACCTTTATAGCTGGGTAGAAAGTGACGGGGATAGAACATGGCCAAAGGGCACCCTCACAGGGTCCCAGGATCTGGGGTGGTTCCATCAGCACACCAAGAAACGAGCATTTCCACTTCCACCAAACAGCTTGCCTCCAGATTGTCTGAAAGTCTTTGTTTTATTTTGTTTTGATTTTTGGAGTACTAGAGGTAGAACCTAGGGCCTTTGTACATGCCAGGCAAGTACTCTACCACCAAGCTACATCCCAGCCCTGAAGTTCTTTTTTTTTGGTACCCGGGATCAAACTCAGGACCTTGTGCTTTTGAGGCAAGTGTTGGCACCACTGGGCTAAATCCCCAGCCCTGAATTCTTTTTAATTCAGTCCCAATCCCAGACACTATGACAGGTGAAACGTCATGTAAACAGCACAGCACTTAGGAAAGGAGTGTGGATTTACAGCGTGACCCTTACTCTGCGTGCCTCACAGCAGACCTCTTTCTTTCCCACCCGGCAGGAGATCCAGGCCACGTGGTATGAGAAACTGCACGAGTGGGAGGATGCTCTTGTAGCCTATGACAAGAAGATGGACACCAACAAGGATGACCCGGAGCTGGTGCTGGGCCGCATGCGCTGCCTGGAAGCCTTGGGGGAATGGTGAGTGGCTGTGACGGGCAGGAGGCCCGTCCCTGCTGAGCTCTCCCCACGCAGCTCGGCTCTGTTCCCTTGATATTTCCTCAGGAACCATGGATCTCTTAGGTGCTTTCTAGCTCTATCCTGTCTCAGCTGTTGAATAGCAAGGCAGTTTTTTAATTTAAATTTTGTAATGCTTTAGAACAGGACAGCCGTGGATGTACTCCTAGGAGCTACACCTGTGCCTTCCATCTGCTCTCTTGACCTTCACTGACCTAGTGCAGATCTCATATTCTTTCTCTGCAACGTTGATTTTTTTTTTTTTTTCCTGGTACCGAGGATTGAACTCGGGTCCTTGCGCTTGCGCAGCAGGTGGCAAAACCACTGAGCTAAATCCCCAGCCCTGCAACCTTGATTTTTAAAAAAGAAATTCACTCTTGCTAATGCTTTTAGGAAAGCAGAATAGTGACTGTCCTCTGCAGGTGCTTCACCTTTTCCAGATGCTCCTTTCTACGTGCACAGCGCCATGCCAGACCGAGGACATGCAGGCACAAACACAGGCTGTGAGGTCGGTGGGCCCAACACAGAACCACATAGCTATGGAAGCCAAGAGGATGCAGGGAGCAGAGTGACCTGGCAGTGTTTCCTGGAGGAAAGTTTGGAGCTGGGTGAAGGAGAAGGGAGAGGGGAACGTATATTCCAGGGAGGAGCCACAGTGATGCCTGCCTGAGCATACCTGGCTAGGCTTGGATCTGGAGAGCTGCTGGGAAATGTTGAGGAGAAAATGGTCCCATCCTGTCTCCAGTGTCAAGTGCAATTTTTTTTTTAATAGTTAAAACAAAATGGAATAGGCCTGATCTATAGATTTAATAGAGGCAAATATTTGTTTAGAAATTTTGCACCTTGGGAAGTTTAAAAAATATTCTTGGACAAAATCAAAGTAAGGTATCTAAAAGAATGATCTTTATGTACATATTGTCTTTCTGTCCCTAATTACAGACATTCTTTTGGTAAATTGTTTTCTCAATATAGAGTTATTACTAATTCCCAAATTGAAAGGGGGCGGGAGCATGATTCAGTGGTAGACCACTGACATGGATGAGACTCTGGGTTCAATCCTGAGCACCATAAAAAAAAAAAGGGAAAAGAAAAGAATTCAGATTAAGGCTTGGGGATGTAGGGCAGTGGCAGAGTGCTTACCCACAGTGCATGATACCCTGAGTTGGCAAAAAAGATGTAATAGACGTTGGACCACACACGCACACATATATATTTTGATATAGATATTGTAAAATTATTTGAAACCAGCTTAATTGTCCAGTTTAGCCATTAAGATTCAAAAGTGTTATCATTTACATATTTTCAAAAATTAACATCTCATATTCATTCTCCTCAATAGAGGGAGGATATCCTATCAAATTTGCTTCATTAGTTTGTAAAACTAAAGCTTTTTTTTTTTTTAAGTCCAGTGAGTGTCTAAACACTGCACTGCCCAGTATGGTAGCCACAAGGTGCGTATAGCTATTTTAAAATTAAATGAAATTAAAAAGTCAGTTCCTCAGTCACGCTGGCCACACGAGTGCTCAGGAACCACACGTGGCCAGTGGCTGTGGCATTGGAAAAGCACACAGAGCATTTCTGTCCCCACAGGAAACTTGACTGGAGAGCATCACTCAAAGCAAAAACAATTTTTCTGCTTTAAAATCTGCTGTCACGCAGCCATAACTTGTTAAGAGCAAGATAAAACAGGATGCACATGTTCTTAAAATTCAGCCGTAATCAATTGCTCCAATGCGACAGTGTTTCCCCGTAGCCTTTGGATTTACATATAAGTTGTCACAGCCCGGCTCTCAAATCCTTTCACATGGTGACTTCAGTCCGTTCTTCAACCCATTTCTGGTGAGCAGGCTCTATCTCTGTCTGAGTTCCGGTCAAATTGGTCACCCTTTCCAAACCCTGCACTCATTTATTCAGTTCCCTGGATTGCCCTCTTCTTCTGCCCCCTTTCCCAAGTTTGGAAATCCTCCCCACCAGTTCTTCCTCCTTGCAACCTTTCCCAGCCCTCCCCTTCCACTCACCCTCCCTTTTTGAATTAAAGATGACCACTTTCCCTGACTGGGGAAGGCTTGGATGGATTGGAAAAGACTTGAGCTGTGATTTCGAGTCCCCTTGTACCCCGGTTGAGGAAACTGAGGCTCACAGAGTTGACACGGCTTGCCCGGGGTCTCCCAAGAGCACAGTGATACAGGTCTCACAGCTTTGCCATTCTTAGTCCCATATATCTCTGAGCTCTGGGCTTTTTCCAGTTGTGTAATTACCTATAAAGTCTAAGTGGCTAGTGATGCTGACCAAGGGATTTCAGAACGTGAGAGACTAAAAGAGAAAAGAGATGAAAGAAGCAGAATTCTTTTCCTGATCATATGCCAATTTAGTGTGGTTTATTCAGGCAATTCTGTTTAGCGTGCAATTTCTAAATTTCTTCTGCTTTGAGCACACATCCTGAACTTGCCCTGCTCCAGGTGTTCATGGGAGGTCGCATCAGGAGTGATCTGGAGTTGCCAGTGAGTTAAGCCTCTCTTCTTTGCCCCATTCTCGTCTGCCTGTAGTAGGCTAACTAGAAGATATGGGCCTCAGCCCCCTGGGCCATGCAGCCGCACCTGCAGTCAAGGTGAACCTCTTCCTTGCCCTACTCCAACACCACCTCTGTCCTTGAGGACAGATTCTGCAGGCCTGAGATCAGAGGCAGCCAGCGGGGGAGGCATTCCAAGCAGAAGGACTCACTGAGCTTCCCGCGCTGCTCCAGGTGCAGAGGCCCTTAGCCCAGTCCTCCCCAGTCAGTGAGCAGCAGTAGGAGGCTAAGAACGTCTAACCTCGTTGTTAACCTCCAATGCCGTTCCCATTTATTTGCACACACCACAGCATTAGAACCCAATACAGTCAAATTCTTTTTGGTACCAGATGTACGTGGGAGAGAAGAGCCCTGCCTCTGTCTCCCTGTTGCACAGATGTGGTCCATGATGAAGTAGTGTCTGTGGCACTGTCAGGGCTCACCTTCCCGGGGTGCTACTGCTGGTGTTCCCTGCTCCATCTCTGTGGTAACTGAGGTCGGGATTTAATCTCCAAGCTCACTTCCTGTCACTTGATGAAAAAAAGCTACATCCTCAAGACCCAAGGCATAGAAACACGTCCTGACAAGAATAGAGGGGGGCTGACTTGCTTGTGCCAGCCGTGAAAATTTGAACTGCAGGTTCTCTTCATAAGGACGGCTTCCTATTAGCGGGTTGGGTTGGGTGAGCAAGTGAGCAAGCAGGTGAGAGCATGGGGTGTCAGTGGAGCGGCCCTCGGGGCTGTGTGTGGGTCAGTGGTGTCGGTGTCGTGTTGAGGTGCGCGGGGATGGGGTCCGCCTCCCCGGCTCTCCTCCCCACCTGGTCTGTCGGTCCTCTGTCCATCCATTTGTTTGTCCTTCAGTCTTCCCCCCCTCCAGTCCAGGCTGCCCTTGAACTCCTAGGGATCTTCCTGCCTTAGCCTCCTTAGTGCGGGGATGATAGCCCCGGCCCAAAAGTTGGAATTTTAAGCCTGAATCTGAAAAGTGTGATAAACCTAGTGATTTTAGGTGTCAGTGTGGGCTCTGCAGTCAGTAAACCCTAGAACTCCCTTTGGCTCTACTCCCTCAATGTGATGATGAGGACCACGGAGAGGATGTGACCCGTGATCCTAAACCTGAACCCGGTGACGATTCTCTTCAAGGAAAAGAGAAGACAGGGAGAATCCCACAGATGCTTTCCCATTCAGACCCAACGTCTGCTGGTTTTCTTTTCTTTTTTTTTCCATTAAGTTTATTGGTATATTTTAGGTATAAAATACAGTTACATTCATCATTGGGATCTTGTATTTGTACATGATATACCTTGGTTCTTATTTTTTTCCCATTCCCCTGCCCTCCCTTCCCTATTTGTAAAGACTTTGTTTCCATTTTTTTCCTTTTCTCGTATTTTTTCTTTTCCCTTTTTTCCTTTCCCCTACACCTCCCACTTCCCCTACTCCTTTAGACCTTTTCTTCCTATTACACAATATCAGTTATACATTTTTTTAATTACAGTATCAAGATTTAGAGGACATTACCACAGATTTTACAGAATTTAAAAGGATATAGAAAGCATATTACAAAAATCTTTTTTGAAATAAATTTGACAACTTCTATGAAGTACCTTGGAAGACAACTTAATGAAACTGACTCGGAAGAAATATAAAATTTGAATAGCAGCTATTAAAGAAAGTATATTCCTAGCTTGAAAACCTACCTATATGACAACAGGCTCATACACATTTTAACTGATAAATTATATCAAACATTTAAAGCAGAAAGAAGAAGGAACATGTCTCCCCTCCTTTTAGGAAATGAACATTGTACTGATACTAAAATTGGATAAAGATAATAAAAGAGCAAAGTATGAACATAAATAAAAATTTGTTTAACAAAACAGGGCCGGGGATTTAGCTCAGTGGTTTTTCCACCTGCCGCACAAGCGCAAGGACCTCAGTTCGATCCCCGGTACCAAAAAAAAAAAATTTGCTTAACAAAACAAACTATTAGAAGTCAGATCTGGAAGTATGTAGTAAGTGGTTTTATTATAGGGATGGCAGTGTTGGTTCAGCATTGGAAGATCCACCCCCATAAGTCATCATTTTAACAAAGGGAAGGAAAAAGCCATATGATCCTATCAGTAGTTCCAGAAAAAGTATTGGGCTAAATTCCACAGCTGTTCATGGTAAAAGCTATCAGGAGACTTGAAGTAGAACAGAAACTTCTCAACAGATCAAAGACATGTACTCCATAGTTCCAGCAAAAACACCTTATGTGAATGGATGCGATACTATGCTTTCTCCCTAAGGTAGGGAACAAGGGCAGATATGCCTACTCTTCATCTGTCCATTAAACTTTGAAACATAGGCCCAAATGAAAATAGTCTGGCAATAAAAAGAAACAAAAAAAAAAATAGCATAGGATTGGCAAGGTAGAAGTA